CCAGGTTTGAGTCTCTGGCACATATGTGTAGCTCACCACTGTCTGTAACATCCAGTCCCAGAGGATCCAGTGCCATCTTCTGGCCTCTTTGGGCCCCAGGCACACACACGGTACACTTGCATGCATACATACATACAGGCAAAATCACATACATACCACACACACACACAGAGGGAGGGAGGGGGAGAGAGAAAGAGAGAGAGAGAGAGAGAGAGAGAGAGAGAGAGAGAGAGATTATCCTGAGGTAGAGGTTAAGGGCCTCAGGGATGGGGCAAACTGAACACAGCAGGGAAATTCTCTAGGAATGTCCCTGGAGGTGCCTGAGTCTCGAGACAGCACGGGATTGATTGAGGCTGTGATAGAAGAGGAAGCCAGGTTCATAGCATAGCAGTGCTGTGTAGTAATAAGGGCGCGGCGGAGGGGCTGCGTCCCCAACACCCCAGCCGCCTGCCCGGCTAGCTTATGCCCGAAATAATTACACGGAAACTGTATTCATTTAATCACTGCTTGGCCCATTCTCTTCTAGGCTAATTCTCACATATTAATTTAGCCCATTTCTAATCATCTGTGTGTAGCACCCCAAGGTGCGCTTACCGGGAAGATTCTAGCCTATGTCCATCCTGGGTCGGAGCTTCATCCAGGGAGCAGGGCATGGCGTCTCTCTCAGGCATCTGCTCCAGGGAGGAGAGCTGTCGAGACTGAGCTCACTTCCTCTTCCTCCCAGCGTTCTGTTCTGTTTACTCCTCCCACCTATCCTCTAACCAACAAAATGGGCCAAGGCAGTTCCTTTATTAGCCAATGACCTTCCTCCATCAGTGCTGTGTAATATGAGAACAGTCCAGAAGAGAGGGCAAAGGCAGCTAGAACAAGGTTCTGGACCTCAGAAGAGTTGGGGGCACTGTGTGATGCATAGTTCCTGTGATGGCTCACTTTCCTACAGGGTGCGCAGTAGTCTCCTGAGGCTTCCAGATGCTCAGGGCCCAATGGCAGGAGAAGGCCAGGGCAGGAGTGGTAAGACCAGACCAGTAAAGGGAGGGTGTGTCAAGCTCCATAGAAGCCATGTGTGACTGACAAATCTTCTTCTGGCCTTGTCCCAGGAGTGCTGAGATTACTGACATGCCATACCCACCCAGAGTCCCAGGTGACTGGCAGTTAGACTTGATGGTTGCTAAGGAGTCTGTCCAAAGTCTTGGTCTGTGTGTGCGTGATCATCTCATCTCAACTTGACATAAGCTGGAGTCATCAGAGAAGAAAGAGCTGAGAAAATACCTCCATAAAATTGGGCTTAGAAGCCAGGCTGTGGTGGTGCATGCCTTTAATCCCAGCACTTGAAAGACAGAGGCGGGCGGATCTCCATGAGTTCAAGGCCAGTCTGGTCTACAGAGCAATTTCCAGGACAGTCAGAACTGTTATACAAAAAAAATAAATAAATAAAAATTAAAAAAAAAAAGCAAAGCAAAGCAAACAGCACCCTCTATAGCCTCTGCATCAGCTCCTGCCTCCAGGTTCCTGCCCTGTTTGAGTTCCTGTCCTGACCTCCTTTGATGATGAACTGCGATGTGGAAGTGTCAGTCAAATAAACCTTTCCTCCCCAAGTTTCTTTGGTCATGGTGTTTCATTACAGCAATAGTGACCCTAAGACACTGACTCTACAGAGCGATAGGCTTCCCCCGTGGGAGTTGGCTTCATACTTCTGCTTCAAGTCTGGACATCGGAGCTCTATGCTGTTCTTTTGTGGACTTGTAGAATCCCCTTCACCAGTCTGGGTGTGGTGGCCCACTTTTAATCCCAGCACTAGGGTGGCAGAGACTGAGGCTGGTGGATCTCTATGGGTTTGAGGTCAGCCTGGTCTATCTACATAATTACTTCCAGGACAGCCAGGGCTACATAAACAGTTCTTGTCTCACAAGCAAACAAACAAACAACAACAACAACAACAAAAAAGAATCCTCTTTGCTTGAGACAATGGGTCTGTCTGCCAGCTTCTAGACCAAAACTTCTCCTGATCGCCTGATACAGGGCTTTCCACTAAGCAGAGAACATTGTGTGAAGAAAGGAAAATGAAGGGCTGCAGGTCGAGCCCATAGTGGAGCATTGGTCTAACTCACACAAGGTTATGGGTTCGATCTTTTAATCTTAGCGTTCAGGAGAATAGCTGCTCGTTTAAGGACAACCTGGGCTATGCACTGAGTTTGGGGCCAGTCTGGGCTCCATAGCAAGACCCTGTCTCAGGAAAACAAAACAGAAGGTCACTGAATTGGTTACCTGCTGTCAAACCTGACAGCGAAGTTCTACTCCAAGGATCCGCGGCGGAAGAGAACTGGTTTCTACACGTCATCGTTCTCTGGTCTCTAACATGCTCTGCAGTGTACACGTGCCCCTGCTAATAAATTAAACACGCACACGGCTCCATGGCCTAATGCGTTTGAGAACAGGTAGGCTAAGCACTGCTAATAGTTTAACAGTTGTTTTCTTTGTTTTAAATGTAATGTTGAGTTTTTTAAAGATTTATTTATTTTTATGTGTATGAGTGTTTTGCCTGCATGTATGTATGTGCGCCAAGTGTGTGCCTAGTGCCTGTTGTGGCCAGAAGAAGATGGGTTCCACATGGGCCTTGGGGAGAATCTGCTAACTGGGTCTGCGGGCCAGGGAGCAGACAGGTCATAGCTGTGGACTCACAGTTCTGGAGTTGGTTTTCTTTCTTTCTTTTTATAGAGGGAACCTTTATTTATTTACTTTTACTACACTTACTCACTTGTGTGCATGCATGCGCACGTGTGTGGGCACGTATGCTATGGTGTGTGTGTGAAGGCCAGAGGACACCTCCCACCGTGAAGTCCTCAGATTTTGAACTCTGGCTGCTATGTTTGGCACCAAGTGTCTTTGTTCCCTGAGCCATGCCACTGGAGAGTCCCCCATTCCAGTCTCTGAGCTGGCCTAGGAGGGGACGGAGGTAAGTTGATCACCTGTGTCTCACTTGGGTGCAAAGCCTGCGTTGCATTCTCATCTCTCTATGAATTTAATACCCCACTTTCCATGCCAGTGCCGTACACCTGCAACCCTGCCCGGTCTGTCCCCACCCCGTATTCTTTCTCCTCCATCCCTCCTTTGGGTTCCTTCTGTCTGTCTCCTCTGTGTTCTCTCTGCCTCCGGATCTCCACTTGTCTTCTCATTCCCTCTGCCCCTAGCCTGGCAGCCTGCCCTGTAGGAATGTTAATTAGTATTCATGATTTAATTAATTCAGTAGCTAATTAATGATTGGGGACTGGGGGTGGGGAGCTAGGGTGCTGGGGGGTTGTGAGCCGAAGGTGGCAGAGAGAAGTAGCCGGAGCTGCAGAAGGCATCGCAGATGGCAGTGTAGAGCCTGGCACAGTGCCCACTGCCATGGATGCAAGCACACTTGCACGCACGCACACGTACACATACAAAACCGGAAAGGGTGATCGAGGAATAAAATCAAAAGCAGGGAGAGAAGGGCACAGGGGCCCTGGAAACCAGGGCTGGGGGGCTGGGGGTGGGGAAGACTCTAGATATATTTGAATCTACTCCGGAAGTAGAAGAGTAGGGAAAAAAGAAACAACCACAGGCGCAGAATGAAGAGAGCTCTCCCGGTACCCCACCCCACCCCCACCCCACCCCAGCCACCCCTCCTCCCTGGCATGGGATTCATGGGCACCAGCTGAGGACAGGGTCCCCTCCCTTTGCCTGCCACATAAATATTGGCAACGAGAACCCAGACTCTGAAGGACAGGACATTCCAAAGAAAATAGTTTTCATTTTAAGTTGCCTTTTAATGTATATATATATGTGTGTGTGTCTGCATATATATATATATATATGACATATATTATATATATTTAAATTGCACCTGTTTTGGCATGAGGGTGAAGGCGAGTGAAAGAAGGTGGCCGAGCCGGGAGGAGAGAGAACACAGATGGCTTGGTGGTGGTATGGTGTGGTGAGTTGTGGGGAGGAAGAAGGGGGTGGTACCGAGGTTGGGATGGGTGGAACGAGGACCCTGTCATCCTCCTTTCATTTTACTATGGTTGAAGAAGAAAGAGAAAGAAAGAGAAAGAGAGAAAGGGGGTGGGGAGAGAAGCGAGACAGATGGCAGAGTGGAGAGGCGGCAGCCAGTGCCGGTACTGCCCAGCTTGGGCGGACCCAGCTCTCCCCCCCACCCCGCCTGCCAGCTCTCCAAATGCCACCCTTCCCCCATCTTCCCCTCTCCCCATCCCCCCAGCTTGGCACTGATCTCAGGGAGAGAGAGGGAGGGAGACTGGGCAAAGAGCATCTGTTCCCTCCATTCTCCTAGCTCCATCGGCTGCCAACCTAGGGCCATCGCCTGCCTCCATCACCCCTTCGCCTGCCTGCCTACCACCCAATCCCAAATGGGTACTGGATCAGGTGCCGAATCTGGCTGGCTCCTCGGGTACCAGTCACTGCATTGCTGTGTGTCTGCCACCGCTGCCTGGCACTCATGGGGCCGTGTGTGTGTGTATGTGTGTGCGCGCGCATGTACATGTACGCGTATGCGTGTGTTGTATGTGAGCCTCCTGGGCATGGGTGGGGGTTGGCATTGCATTTGCCACTGTAGCATCCAACTAGAAGGACAGAAGGATGGAGTGGAAGAAGGAGGGGAGAGGTGTGGGACCTTGGAGGAGAGGCGAGGGTGCATGAGTTGCTTCATACTGTCTGAATGCACGCATTGGTACTGCAGCTGCCACCCTTGTGCCCATGGAGATGGGAGGGGATGAGTGGAGGGGGCAGCGACAGGAGTCCTTGTGCTCTGGGAGGAAGGTGCGGCACACAAGAGCTGTTGGCATCACAACTGTTGGGCTTGTGCCCAGGTCTGGGGTTATGGGGACCAGAGGGGCGCGAGGCGGTAGAGAGGGGATGTGCTGCCGCCGCTGTCCCTCCAGAATGAGCTCTGAGAAGTGTTGGACTGTGAAGGAGTTCTCTCTGTTCCAGTCTGGGGAGTGGGGTGAAGGGAGTAGATGAGAAGGAGCCAAGAACGAATGGGAGAGGTAGGAGGAGGCTGTGCCACTACTACCCAGGGAGAACTTGTTTGGGCTGGCAGTGTGGCCTTTTGAGAGGACACTGGGGAAGACAGCAGGGAAGCTGGGGTGTGAGGGAAGCTGGCACTGCCCATGGAGCCTGGCATGGCTCTGGTGTTGTCAGTGCTCCCTCTGATTTGGTTGAGCAGGTTGCTGTGCCAGGAGTTAGGTGGAGAGATAAAGGATGCTTTCTTTGGGAGAATAGACTCCTTTCTGCCAGGCCCTCCTTCCCATTCCCTCTTAGGCATCTGAATGGCAGATGGAGTACCCCGTGAGGACACAATGGAGGAAGCCTGCTATGGCTAAGACCCCCAAGGAAGAAGAGTGGTGAGCCCTGCTGGCCTCCAGCCATTCCCCCGCGGAAGCTGGCGGTATCCTCTAGCCTGGTCTGTATGTACTGTTATTACAGGTGTTCACGGAGGGAAGGGTTTGCATGTGACACTGGGCTGTGTGATGGGAAGGGTAGCCTTTTGTGGCTCCCATTTGTACTGTTCCCTCTTACAAGTGTGGCGGATTTTTCTCCCTGGTGCCTCCCTCTCCCTTCCCCTCTATCTGCCTCCCCCGCTTTTCATCATCACCATCTGGGTCCTACTGCTTGGCACCCAACCAAGTAGATGCTGCCACAATTGGCAGTATCGCATTGGCATGTGACCAGTGACTCAGAGTCTGGCAGTGCGTCAAACCCAAAGCCGCCAAACTTGTTCAAGATACCGCTTGGCGGCCGTGTGCATGGCGGTGCCACAGGCTGGGTGGAGCTCCATGTTGGGAAACGGCATATGAGGTACCCTTCACAGACGGACTGAAGCCCCATTCGCTATTCTCACCTCTGCTGCTCTCTGAATGTGACTCTCAGGTCTTTCTAACCCCAAGAAGGGGATGTAAATGGCACTATACTGTTTTTGAGCGGCTAGGCAAAGGAATCTGGAGTACAGAGGGACGGGGACATTGTCTACAGCCACATCTGAAGCCAGTGGCTGTGGACTTCTCTGGGCAGCTAGGGCAGGAAATAAAAAGGCAGGGTAAAAAGGCCCGGACAGAGACTTGGCAGCTAAGCGGTTACTCAGACAGTCCCAAAAAGAGTGGAAGGAGACCTCAGCTTGGCTGTTAGGGAGTGACTGGGTTTTACCTGTGTATTTCCTGCTGATCTCTGCTTGAGATGAACTAGTCCCCTGTCCTTTGGAAGAATGAGAAGCACTCTAGAACTGGAGAGGTGAGACATAGGTAGACAGGATACCCGGGACTTCTACAAAGACTGAGATTTTATGGTTAGGAATTTCCCAGTGGCACCCCAAATAGGACCAGACTAACTTCTGTTTTTGAAATCTATGCTTGGAAGGAGGCCAGCAATGACGGTGAGAGAGAAGGTGTTGCTTTGAAGGACAATCTCCTCCAGCACCTGTGGTGACATGCTCCAGCCCCTGAAATTTTTAACTTTAAGCTGCCCTATGCAAGAGTCTTCAGTAGCACTGGATTTCCCCAATTCCTGGGTAGGCAGAGGCTATAGGCCATCATGCTGGACGATCTGGAGAAACTGTGTCTGTGGGTAAAGTCAGAGAGACTAGCTGGCTCTAAGAGATAAGGCCTGCTCATAGGAAGTCCATCCTGGGCGGAGCTACGCTGGGCTGGGGGAGTTCTGATCTCGACATCTCTGGAAGTGGACGGCAGTTTCAGAAGAAGCAGGGTTTCCACAGGAGAAGAGAAAGCAAGAGGTCTTCGGTCAGCACGGTGAGTGGACGGTGCTTAAGAACTGTTTTCTGCTGTTAAGACAGAAGCCGCCGTAAGCACACAATACCATCAGATTCTAGCAGACTGGAAGGTTGAAGGTGTTTGTCCAGGTAATGAGGATGATATATCTGAGGACGAGAAAATCGAGTTGGGCAAAGCTTAGTGGTAGAGCGCTGGCCTAGCATGTGTGAGGCCTTAGGCTCCATCTCCAGCACTAAAGGGGAGAAACCTGAAGTCATGGTAGTCACTGTGTGGGAGCCTCCAGCATAGCGGAGTTGTTCTGGGACTGGAGAACTGGGACTGGGCACGCTAGGACAGCATCTCTTAGCCAGCAGCAAAGATCATTTCAGCAGGAGTTTCTGATTCACTTGGCATGGTGATGGGGTTCAGAAATGTACATTTAACTATGATTTATGGTACTAGGAATTGAACGCAGGGCTTATGAGTGATGGGTGAACACTCTGTCATTGAGTTAGGTCCCCCTTTTTGCTTTTTATTTTGAGATGGGGTCTTGCTCAGCTCAAGGCTGGCCTTGAACTAACTCTGCAGTCCAGGCTATCTTGAATATGTGAACCTCCTGACTCAGCCGCTCTAGAAGGTGGGATTACAGGCTTGTACCCCTAGACTAATCTTAGGATATATTTTAAACACTCAGGTAACCATGGTGTAGATGGATAAACTTTAGGAGAGACTGCTCCATGACTTGGCATTCATCTTGGAGGGCAGTCAGTCTCATTTTAATTTTTCTTGTCTTTGAACCTCTGTTTTTCCTTGACCACCTTTCATGGCAAACCGGCGATATATATGTTGTGGAATATGTGCTTATTTGTTCTGAGTGAGGGTAGCTGGTAAACAGCAGAGAGTTGTGATGTGTAGTTAGGACGTGTAACTTGTTAGCACGGTGATTGCAATCGACAGAAGTTATTACAGAAGACCCCCGCCCCCACCTTGATAACATTTTCAAGGCCCCACTTCCTTCTCCTCCCAGTTCTAAGTACTGGCTGCCATATGTTTCTCAAATCTTCCCATCGAGAACCATGAGATCAGAGCTCTGACTGATGTTCTCTGTGTCCCCATGAGATCTCTATGGATTTTGTGGGGGGAGAGAGGTCCTGCTCCTCCCCTGTCTTTTGGAGACCTGGGTGGTGATGTAGGGTCAGCATTGTACAAGGCTGGACCCACGGCAGTATTGGCAAATCCCCACATCTTGCAGACAAGTGCCGCTGTTGCCCGAGTCGTTTGCTGGGTGGGATATGCCCAGTGTGGGGCTTCTTCAGGTTCAGTGAGGATGTTGTGCAGGCTTTGCTATTGTTAGAAAAGAACCATAGATGTACAGATGTGAGCAAAGTGAGCTACTACTGACTGCCCGTTTTTGAAGGTTTTTGTAGGGAAGACTCTGGATGGCTGGGTAAGGCCGTATTGCTCCCCCCACTCTCCTTGACAGGCCCAGCCTCTTTCTGTTCTACCTAGGAACACTCATCCTGCTTCTCCACTAACTTCTGGTCAGACCCCTCTGTCACTGGGGAGTTTCTGGAAACCCATTTCACACTGTCAGGCAATGTTATCTATCTAATCTCTGTTTGTGTTTTGCTTAGAGAATTAGCTGGCTCCTTCTCTATCAAGGGGAGTCACAGGGTGGGCATTCAATTGGGTCACCTAGTTTTGTCACTCCATGTTATGTTTTTGTAAAGTGTGGTGTCTTCCCCCAGGCCTAGAAGCACAGGCCTGTGACCTCGGCTGCTCAGGAGGCTGAGGCCGGAAGATCTGGAGCTTAAGAGCTGTTTGAGCTATAGAGCAAGTGCTCTCAATTCAAGTTCATCTCAAAAGAATGAATTTATTAAAAATTAAAAAAAAAGAAAAAAGGGGTCAGTTGTGCGTGCCTGTAATTCAGGCATGGAGGCCAGAAGACCCAGAGTTCAAGGTCATCCTGGGCTACACAGAGAGTTAAACTTAGTCTACAGGAGACCCTATATTTTAAAAAAAAGTGGGGAAGCCGGGCGGTGGTGGTGCACGCCTTTAATCCCAGCACTCGGGAGGCAGAGGCAGGCGGATCTCTGTGAGTTCGAGACCAGCCTGGTATACAAGAGCTAGTTCCAGGACAGGCTCCAAAACCACAGAGAAACCCTGTCTTGAAAAAAAAAAACCAAAAAAACAAACAAACAAAAAAGTGGGGGTGGTGTGGAAGTGGAGGGGTGTGGTTTAGTGGAAGAGCTCCTGCTTCATGTTCCTGGGGCCCTGGATTTGATCCCTACTTCCGCAAAAGGTGTAGGGTCTTCCAAGAGGTGTGTTCTCTCGCGTTGCTCTTCTCTTCTTCAAACTTAACAGTCTTGGTCTAGCCTTCCTCAATGTCCCCTCTCGGAGTTTCATTTCGTCTTTTCGTATTGTATCCATGCTCTGTTCCTGTGGCTAATGCCCTTATGCCCTTATGCCATGGTGACTGCTGCCATAGTACTGTGGTCTCCCTTCCTAATTCAGTCTCCTAGAAACGGTGGCCGTAGAGCTCCAGGTTTCTGACCAATTTTTGAGATGCATTCCCCCCTCCCCCCCCCACTTCTCAATTCCAGGTTTTCCTGTAACAGAGCCCCAGCCCAGTCCACCCGATTTCAGGTTGATTTCGGACAGTTTTCCGAAGTTTCCTTGACTTCTCGTCTACCTCTCCCAGCTGTAGACGACAATCATTTCTGGCCTCTCCCTCATTAGTTAAAAGTTTCAATGCTAATGGACACTGGGTACATTTTCCTGAGACTTCCTGTTTTGTGAGCTTTTTCTGTTTCTATTAACATGAGGACAATTAGCACACGTGAAGGGTTTAGAGGCAAGAGTCCTTCTGCTAGCCTGCAACCTCAGTTCCTAGAAAGTACTGCTTCTCAATGACAGGAAGGTTATCTTGGGGCATGTTGTTGTTCAATTGTAAGCCTCTCTCTCTCTCTCCCCGCCCCCCCAAGTGTGTGTGTGTGTGTGTGTGTGTGTGCGTGCAGGTGCGCGCATCTCTCTGCAGACCTCGACTGAGGTCCTTCTGAGAATGGACTTGTTTTGTTGGTGGGGTGCTATACACCGAAATCTGCTTCCATTTCATATGTAAATTGTTATTATTCTGGCTTTTTGAGACAGGATCTCACTGCATAGCCCTAATTGGTCTGGAATCCTCTTTGTACACCAGGCTGGCCTTGGGCTCACAGAGATCCATCTGCCTCTGTCTCCTGAGTGCTGGGACAAAAGGTGTCCTCTACCACACCCAGTCCCTTATGTGAATATTTTTATAGGGATGAAAAAAACCAGATAGCAGGGTGATGAGAACTTGGTGACCCTGTCTGACACTAAGGAACAGAAAGAAATCAGCAGCCCGTGCTATCATGCCTAGAGTAACTGGCTTTTGCTTCTGCAAGTTCACCCCAGGGCTAGAGGTTTGGGGTAAGAACTAGTTTTTCGATGATCTGGCTGCATATCTATACTATCTGGCTTCTAAGGCTTCAGATTTCCCATGTTCATCCAGCAAACCTTGCTTTTTTTTGTTTTTTTCTGGTTGAGGACTGAGTACCTTGAGCAAAGACAGGCAAGATCATTTGCACCTCCTGCCTCCCAGCAATGACCCTAGAGTAAGAAGGGACCTGGGTTTGGTGTTTCTTTAGAATTGTGTATGTTAGACATCTAGAACCATGGTGGTTCTGGCTTATGAGGCCCTAGTTTAAGCTTGCTTAGCAGACAGGCAGATGCATTTGCCGGTATTGCCTTGCTTGCCTTTCATCTGTTATTCCACAAGATCCTGCTGACTTGATGGTCACCTCCAGAATTCTTCAGACGCCAGGCCCTCTAGTGTGTTCTGGTGTGTGGTGGAGGGGTCGTGTTGCAGTTGGTGTGGCCAGAGGAGAGGGCTGAGAAAGACTACAGACTGGCGCTCCCTGGGGATCCTGATGACTGGCCTGTCAACAGCTCCAAGGGTCCTGGGAAAGTACAGTTACTCAGGAAATTTTTGTCTACTGCTGTGACTACCTGGTGTGTCCCAGGCCACCGTGTTTAGGTGTAAGAAGGCACAAGGAGAAGGAGTTTCTGGCCATAGTAACCCTTGGTAAAACCAAGGTTCCTCCAACCTAACCAGGCTAGAACGCACGACACGACACCTCTAATTATCCCAAGGCAGGGGTTTACCGAGATTTTCTTTTAAAGTTCCTTCTTTTTCTTTTCTTTCTTTTTCTTTTTTTTATCTTTTATACACAAGTCACATTCCCAGAAAGCAGAGTTAAAAAAAAAACCAAACAAAACCAAACAAAACAAAAATCCAAAAAATCCTTTTTCCTCATACACATGCTGCTAAGAAAATACTTTTATACATAGAATTTGAACAAGTGAGAGAGAAGACTGGGGCTGGGTATGTGGGCTGTGAGAGAGATGCTGGCAGCAGGGACCAGACCACCACGGGCTAATTTTTCTAGGAACTGGCCTTTTTGGTATTAACAGAACTGGTTTCATCCTACCCTCAACTGACTGGAGCTAAAAGTGTCTTAGCTTTCAAAGTGAATGACACAGAAGTTGAAGAATCAGAATATGTGAGAACTAAGGATTTCAGCTGACCCTGCCCGCTTCTCCCTTTCTGCACATAAACCGTTGCTTTAGTGTTGCTGTGTGGCTGGGGGACCCTGCAGAAGCTTAGTTCTAGGGCAGGCGGACACATATCAAATGGGCAACTAATGTATGAAGCCTGGTAGGGGGAAGGCTCCTCAGAGTTAAGGGGAGAGACGAAACAGCTGGAGGGTGTAGGAAATTTTGCAGGCTTTTCTTTGCTAAAACAAAATATCTATTAAATCTATCTTGTGCCATTTGGGCTAGATTTGGGAATTGCCAAAATTACCCCCTGCTGGTCACACATGAGGTAAGACTGGGTGTGGGAAGTGTCCCCGAGGACACTGCCCTCCTACTGTATCCCCTGGAGAGCATGTTGTGCTTCGGGGACCCCACTTAGTACACATCTCACAGGGCCTTCTGCCTGGCAGACAGGCAGACTC